TTCACAATAAAAGCATATGAATAGGAAATAAGTAAAACTAGCTCTTGGGCACAGAGTATTGCCCCTAGCTGGTTCATCCTGTTCACAGAAAAGTATGTCATGTGCTACTACACCCAGACGTTTGGCTGTGGTGCAAGGGGCTGGATCTCTCCGTCTGGGAGAACAGCACTCTCTGGAGCACATTAAGGGAAGAGCACGAGAAAGATGGGAAGCTTTGAATTCAGTAGGAAGAGCAGAACTATTCAAGTGTTTAAGTGACTACTGAAAAACTCCAGCCCCGCAAAGGTCTTGATCACTTGTTTTACTGACATTCGTACTCATCCTGTACAAGAAAAATGTCCAAGAGTTGTAGCTAATTAATTGTTTGCAGTTGATGGTGAGCTGAAGACTCTAAACTCTGCTTTCCGAGGAATAAAAGCCCGTGGGATTGCTATGAAATGAAATTGCTCCCTAGAGGCATGCAAGTACTTGCAGCACTTGCTCTGGATCATCCAAAGATTCCAAAAACTAAGAGCCTGTGCCTGACTCACCAGTGTCCACATATGATCTCAAATAACTACTGTTGGTCATAATAGCAAAGGAATCCAGCCAGCTCAGGCAGGAAGAGCATCTTTTGCAAGAAAAAACTTTGGATGCAAAGTAGCTCCTAGGAGGGGGCAGGCTGGAGAGGAAGGTCGGCTTAGAAATTACAGTAACATGTCAAGATGCTGGAAATAGGCATCAGGTTCTCCCACCATCCCTATCCTCCCACAAAGACAGCAACTTTGGCTCCTCCTGCACACTGAAGGTGGAAGAGAAGCCATGGACAGATGTCTTCCTGCTGGAGTCCCTCTATCCAACATTAGCATATAGCAGAGTAAATTATTTATAAAAGAAAAGGTCTGAAGCTTTTCACACCATTTAACAGTCAGTCCATGTGAACTGCTCTACTGTAGGCTCTGTGAGGAAGGCATCCATCATGAACAGGCTAGAGTTTATCTGGCTTTCTTTGTTCAGGGCAAGTATGTGTTCTCAGGGTCAGAGCTGTCCTGCAGTGCCTCTTCCTGCTGGGTCTTGTACTGAGGTCCAAACCCTTGCAGTCCAACGCAGCCCGGGGGTCGGCAAGCACAGCACCTCCTGAACTCTGTGGGAGCAGTGCCTGCTTGCTTCAAAGGCAAATTGTACCCGGTGTTTATACCAGCCTACAAGGCATGAAAAGGCCTAGGAGGTCAAATATCCACCACTGTAATTTCAGGCAGGATCAAACAGAAAAGCAACAGCTGGGCTGAGTGAGCAAGTCCACGTTTAATTACGAATGGTTTCGGTAATAAGCAAAAGCAAGAACAAAGCCAGTGAAAAACCTCTCTTTTTCTTCCTGGCTCCTGTTCAGGCTGTGTAGAAACAGCTGCCTAGAAGAGAATCTCAAATAAGATCCACCAAATACATTTTTTCCATTCTCAGGACTGCCACAGCACCACTGTTCCCTGGGCAAAGCCACTGTGCTTTGACAAGGACCGACGGGCAGATCGCAGCTGCTCCCACCACAGGGCTGGGTCCCTGCAGGGCTCTCCCAGCCTGGAGCTCAACCCCTGTCGAGTCTCACAAGTACATGCACAGAGTCATTCTGCAGTAAGCTGCTTGGAGGATTTAATTTGCTTTAACATCCTCTGAATATGAAATGCTGCTGTAAAAGGGGATTGCTAGCGCAGAAATGATGAACCCTGCTCACAGGTCCTGCCTGGCCTGGGAAGAGGGCAAAAGACATCTCTTGGAGTACCAGGAATTCCCACTGATCCCTCCATCAGATCAATGCATTTCTTTGGCAGCCAGGATCTACTCTTGCTTTTCCCAAAAGTGAAGCAGTGGTTAAGGATAGGAAATGAGCCCTAAAGCACACAGACAAGAAGGCTTAGCTGGGTGGGTGGAGGGCTTTTTTTAGATGCTGGGAGCCTTCCACCCCTTTATTGGGGCAGCAAGTAAGAAATCAGTGGGTCCTCTCACCACATCTGATACCTCTGATAACATCAGCAAGAGCCTAACAGAACCCAAGAGCACAACAGAAACAACTGGAACAGAGTATCACAACCCCAAACCTCTCCAACAAACCAATACATGCTGCTGACAGAACACTGCCTGGCTGTGTGTCACAGGGGGACATGATGGGAAGAATGTGAAGGCTGGGAAACCATCACATCCCTGGGAACCAAGGGCTTCTGACCTTTCTAGCAAAGCCTGCTGAGAGAACTGGGTGGGTTGTTTTGTACTCCTGGCTTTAATTACAGCCAAGTGTTTAAGTTATTCTCCTCCAACCACCCCCATGTCCCTCACAAGCACAAATCTAGCTTTTTATAGCACATCCGGTATGGATGTTAAACACATTCAGGAAATGCACTTTCAGCCCCAAACATCCCCTCCCCTGGACCAGTTAGTTTGCAAGGGTTTGTAACACGGAGACGTGGAGCCGGATGTTTGGTTTGGTGACCGTTGCTTTTCTGGGTTACTTCTGTCTGTTTAGAGAAGGGAAATTCAATAAATGCAGGGTAGGCTGGCTGCATTCAGAAATCATACATGCTGCTTGCAAGGTGAAGAAAGAAAAGCCAGATGGAAAGGCCACTATTAGCTGCTCAAATTCCCTGCAAACAGGGCAAGGCTTTTTTTTTTTTTTTAAATAGCTGACAAAGCTCCTGGGGGCTGACAATGGCTCACAGCACAGTGGGAGTCCACAGGCACAGCTAAAATCCCAAAATCACGTTTTTCACTGCCTTGTGGCAATAGACTGGGGCTTTCCCATAATGCCTAAGGCAAAAATGTACCTGCTCCCCCATAACTTCTATTTTAAGTAGACAAAAGGTGCAAAGAACTGTGAGGCAATGCCAGGCTCTGTCAGTGCCCAAGCACTGCTCTGGCATGTCATCAAGGCTTGTGGCTCTTTCCTCCAGAGCAGCAGGGTCTGGATAGCTTGGCTCAAGTCTAAAACCTGACCTTTGTAATTGGCTTAACATATGGGGCTTGCCTCTGGCTTTAAGGAATACCACAAGACTGCTAGTAATTTTCTCACCTGAAAATACCCTGGCTGGCTTCCCAGCTGGAAGCATCTTCCTAAGCCCAAAGGCAAGCATGTTTGCTGGCAGTCTCAGGGATCAGTCTTGGACACTAGTCAAAGACTCAGATCAGAGGGCCCATGCTGGCCAGATTGCCCCAGAGAACCTCCTAGCAAAGCCTCAAGAGAGCTGGGCTGTTCCACACACTGATCCAAACACCACTGCTGCTCTTCTGCCATAGGATCCCTGCACAAAGCCAGGATGTGAAAGGGAAGGCATTTGGGGCTGTGCTGCATTGGGGCTTGGTGCTCTGAAAAAAGGCAAGACATACAAGCCCAGGATATTTTTCCCCACCTTTTTCCACAGCCAGGTCACCTCATGTTCTGGCCAAGCAACTGTCAGTAGGACATCACACATCAGCAAGCTGCACAATGACCTAATTAAGTTGCTTCCAAAATAATCTCACTGAAGGAAAGTTAAAGAGTCCTTGAACTCATTATTTCTTCTATTGATTTTTAGTCTACTTTTTTCCATATCTGATGTTAATTCTTCAGATATCTGAACATGAACTCAAACTGAGCTGTGGGTATTACTACTGAGCAATCCAAGCTCCAGCAAAAGCAACCATGCCCCTTGGTGAGGACCAGGCTGCACAGGCCCACTGGCCACCCAGCTCCTCCTGTGGCCTGTGAGACAGGGGAGGAAACAGGGATCTCTGCTGAACTGGAAGGTGAACAGCCCCTGGAGCTTTCCCAGTGGGCTGCCAAACCTGCCTGCACTCAGAGCAGCAGACTGGAAGGCAGGTTTGAAGACACGGGACCACCAGCAGCATGCACAGTGTGGAGCTGCCCCAGCTTCAGCTGCTGCTCGAACAAACTTCAGCCACCAAAACTGCACAAAGAATGCCAGCCCAACCCAAAGCAAGTTTTCCAGCACAAAACCCTGTACACAACACGTAGATTACAATTAATGGGCTCTGCAGGGATGAACCCTTGTGCAGTGTGAGCAAGAGCATGAAGCCTGTGCTCATCTATGCCTCATTCAGCTCAGAGAACAGCAGCTGTCAAGGGTCAGGCACACACACACACTCTGCTTTCTCTACCCTGAGCTAAGTACAAGCTATGCAACACTTAGCTGGAAAAATGAGTGACAATCCAGCTGCAGCAAGTGAATAACAGCATCTCAGGGAAAGGCAGCCTTAACTCACACTGGAGAATTACTCCAAGCAGATGGGAAGGACAATGTATTTATTTGAGTGTTATTGTTTCTGTGTGATCAAATCATATGCAGCTTATGTCTTTCAAATATAAATGCAAACAACTGACTTAAATAAAAATCATCACTGGCACACAGAAGTATCTCCTCTGTTCCTAGGAAGCTGGTGATCTCCCAAGCTCATCAGGAACCAGACTGGCATCTCAGATGCACAGGGGACCCGACCTCCTTGTATCTCTGACAAGCATTATGATAATCTCAGAATTAGGTGTTAGAGCTTGAACAGAAAAGTGACAAATCCACATCAAAATGATATTAGAGAACATCAAAGAGGCAAAACCATCTCTCATTTAAATGCTCACCCAAAGTCTCTAAGAAGCTACAGCCCAGCCTGACATGGCTTTTTATAGCCCCGAGAAGCACCTGCCAAAAGAACTGCAGGCAATATCAGGAATGTTCCTTGGCTACCTGCAGTTTCACCAGGCTGCTTGAGACAGTCAAATCACTATCTCCTTACTAGGATGAATGATTTATGGGGATTAAAAAATTTGAGCCTGAACCTATGAAGTGAGTCACTGGAACTCACAGGCTGCCTCCCCCACTTCCCTCCAGCCCCAACCATCACACCTTCCAGGCCTAGTCCTGCTCCCACTGAAGGACTGCAGAAAACAAACACCATTAAATACTGCAGAGCCTGCACTATTGGCTCCAGAGCCATCTTTCTCACTAAGGGCCCATTCCCAGGCAGGAAAACCCCACACTCACCCCGAGACTGTTGGCAAGGAAGTTGGAGCTGCTGACTGCAGTTTCTCTTGCTGCTTCAGAAAAGATTTAGCTTCTTTTGAGTTTGAGTCTACTTCTTTAGTCACCCTGTTGAAGGAAAAGAGAAAAAACAGAGGGTAAGGAAAAGCTGTACTCAACAGTAAAATCAAAGATCCATCAAGGAAACACAGAAAACAGGTACAAGAGTCTCCACATTCCCCGCACAGAGATCACCTTCATCAGCTGCAAGCTGAAGAACACACATCTTGTTAAGATTTCATTCCAGTGACAAACCCCCTACATTCATGGCAGAAAAAAGAAAAAGAGTGGCTAATTAGAGCTGGGGGAGGAGGGGATGTTTTTTCTTTCCAACAAACTGGAATGCTTATTCATTCAAACAGGCCTGTCTCACTAGCAGCTACTAAAAGCTCTCCTCAGGTCACTGGGGGCAATTCCAGGCTCTTAATTGGACTCTTGATTTTCTCATTTGTTGGTCAGTGAGGCAGCTCTTCTGCCACCCATGTCTCACAGCCCACGGCACAGAGGCTTGGCAACATCTGCAACCCAAACCAGAGCAACGGGAGGGAAAGCTCTGACAAGGCAGAATGTAGAAATTTACTCTCATTTTCTAGTTAATTTTTGTTTGAGGCCCCGAGGGTGCAAAATATTGAACTTCAAAAAATTATAAATCAATATGGCATCTACAGCAGGGAATGAATTATAAACATGAGAAAGAATCTCTAGAAAACCACTCAATAATTAATTGTTAGAAAAGCCCAGCTACTTTAGCCCCCTCATTTACCATGACCTGCCTCCAGCAACACGCTTTTCACGCTCTCAGTAGCTCTTAATGAGGTTGCCCTGATTTGCCAAGCTAACAATTTTGTTCCCATGGAGCACAAGCCTGTGAGCCTCTCCAGGGCCCTGCAGCACTATGGGCACAGAGGCAGCCTGGCCCACAGCTCAGTCAGCACAGAAGAAGAATCCATCTCACCCCTCCTGCACCCTGGGCCTCTGGCTCTATCTGCTCCAGCAAGGATGTGCAGGCTCATCCCTGGTCTACACCAAATGCTGATGAGAGGCTGAAAGCCTGGCTGGCCATGGGATCTCCCCTGGCTACAAATCAGGCTAATCATTGCTTCCTACCCACCAACCTGACCTCACAAGTTCCATGAAAGAACTGGCTAACAGTCATGGAGAAACCCCAGGAGCTGCAGCCCCAGATAGGTTTCTGCTGGGCTGGCATCAAGGAGAGTGACACGGAGTTATCTGTTAACCCTGGAGGCACTGATGTCCTGTGATCTCACATGCACACAACTAGTGCATCCATGCCTCCATGCTGACAGTGAATCAGCACCTGAAACTTCCTTCCTCCTTCTCCACAGACTGCAAATGCAGTGGAAAAGGCACAAGAATAAATGCCTGTGCTGTACAACTGCTCAGCCTTGTTCTGCCAGTGCAGGAGGAGATTAACCCCATTTCCCCCCTGCATTGTCACATGCCTTTCAAACCACAGCAGTCATGTGGATAGAGACAATCCCACACTATGAATACTTAGAAGTGTTTGCTGATCAGATTGGGAAGGGAAGGGGTAGGAAAATGAGACAAGCACTTCAGGAAGAAAATAAAACCCCGCTACAGCATCATCACAGTTCACCCCAAACACACCACTCTTGCAGCAGTGGTCATGTCATGCAGCAGTCATACACCAAAGGTTACCCTACATCCATGGATTTCATTTGACAGGATAAACTTGGTGTCTTCATGCAGCAATGAGACAGAATTCCCCCCAACCATGAGGCTGAGTTCAGATCAATGCAATCACACAGTCTATTTATTTTCAAATGCAGCATCTGAACAGCCAGCTCTGACCCCTGCCAAGCTGAGAAGCAGCACTCTCTCTTGTGCACTCTGCAGTGCTGGCTCCTGGCAGGGTCCCTGTCCTCCTGTCAACCCCTGCACTGCTGTGCCATCAAAGCTGCACTCCTGGCATGCAGGGAGCACAGGAGCCACAGAGAGAAATATCAGGCAACCTCGAGTGTGCAGGAATCCAAGAGATGTAGCACAACAGCAAGCAAGTGTTCAAAGCCAGTGCAGAGCTGAGATCTCAGCACTTGGCCTTAAGCTCCTGTGTGTCTTCAGCCTTCTCCAGCCTGGAGACAGAACTAACTGGTGTCTCCCCTACCAGCTGAGAAAAAGAAAGGCACAAAGCTAAAATGAAAAACAGCTCTAGGGACTTGCACTCCAACAGAGTTAGCACACTCTTGGTTGGACCAGCACTACAAATCACAGCTCTTGGAACAGGAGATGCCCAGTCCCAGAAAGGGTGAAAAAGCAGAAAGCACACAATGTGTCTGGCACAGGCCTTCAGTGACAGGCACTTCAGCTATCCAGGGGCACAAGACAGGCTGCTACCCAGGGTTTACTTGTGCTTCAGTCCTCACACCCTCCTCCACCTTGGAGTACCACTAACAATGGCTGGGCACAAAATACAACACTTAGTTCCATTTTCTTTGCTCCCCTTGGCCTGCCAGCAGCTGCTCTAACATATATTTTTGGAGTTGTCCACTGCAGAAATTCAGCTGCAAAGCTGCATGCAACCTGTTCCACCAGGACTGCCCAGCTGGGGACAGAGGAATGCGACAGAAATGTAATTAAAAGTGACCTTTCAAGGCAATTCCATCACAAGACCCACTTACTGCCTCATAAACTGAAACAAAAGCTGCTCTGAGGCAGGCTGCTCTGGGCTGATGCCAGCAGCAACTCCTGCACCACTCCAAGAGGAATGACGGAAGAGTATTAAGGAGCTTTACAAGGTATTAATTCAGGTTATGCACATTTCAACCTTTCCCAGATCCCAGGCCAGGAAGGAAAAAGAAATCCTCTGCTCTGCATTATTATGGGAGACAATAACTCTCTCCATGTAGAAACCAAAACAATTCTTGTTCTTCAAGGGGAGAAATGGGAGTCATTAATTCAGCTGGAAGAAATCACAGTCATTACTAAGGCAAATTACAAGACCTTTCACTTTTAAATACTTGATAAATAACTGTTTGCCTGACTGTTTACTGGGATGCTATTCACACATTGTAATCCAGGACTAAACATGAAAATAAGTATATTGTCAGCAATAAAACAAGTAGCTAGTGTCTTGCCCACTTGCAGCCCCTGTAATTCACACACAAAACCACTCACTCTCATCACTTTGCCACAGAGATTTCATTACACTGCTATGCTGTTAAATTGCATAATAAGACTTCCAAAACACAGAACAGTTATTAATTTTTGGACCATGCCAGAGCCTGGTAGCACAGATGATGCTACTGTCTTCCATATTTACAAGTCATTATAAGGAAAACATGCTAGAAACTGGATCATTAAGTGTCCTGAATACTTACAGATGTCCTTCTTAAGACCCTTCATCTCTGATACAAGCTCAAAATGGTAGCCAAACATTCAGGCATTGCCATACCCACCCAGCCTGATGGTTTGGTGCCCAGTGGTGGGTATGTTAGCTCCAACTTCCACTGAAGAACTTATCACCCATCCTTTTACAGTTTCCAACTGAAATGCTGCACCCTAAGTGCATGGAGAAGGCCCCAGGTTGTGTATGCTGGGCACAAACCACATGAAGACAACACCTGCTGTCAAGGCTGCCCCAAAGGGGCTCCACAGAGCACTTGCAGCTCTGAAATGTAGCAGATTAATTTCAGAGCAAGTGGTTGATCTGCTCCCAGCAGTGCCCTTACCCACACAAACTGCTACAAAGAAGGAAGAATACATGCTGGAAGGAGCATTATGCTGACAGCTCCAGCTAATCTGCAGAAGGGGATTAAACCCAAATTCAGTGTCAGAATGAGTCTAATGCACCAGCTTGTCTGCTGCACCCTGGTTTTACACCCTGGTAGAGCTACCAGGGAGGAGGGTCCCAATCCATCACACAACACCCAGAGCCCAGGGCTTGCCCAGTGTGATGCCCAGATGCCTCCACTCCAGCACAGCTGAATCCAGCCCTGCTGGATTCCAGAAATAGAACTTGTGTAAGGGATGCCAAGGCTGCAGTGTGTCAGCAAAGTGCCCATCTCAGCAGTGAGCTGCAAAGTGCCCTGCCAGCCCTTGGAGAAGTGCACCAGCAGAGCTTCATCCTTGCACAGAGGGGAAATAGAGGCAGGATAAGGGCAAGCTGGGAAAGACAAACAGGCATATCAAGAAGGCTTGCAGGCTAATAATCTGTAGACTGCTGTGTAATAGCAACCTTATGCCAAAATCCCTCCAATTTACCCCCAGGTGCCCCAACACAGCTACATTCTCCTAACCAAAACACCTGGTGCACATCAGGCTGAGAAAGCACATGTTGGTATTTGGGTATAAGGGGACTTAGAGCAGAGAAGGCAGTTAAAACCTTACCCACAGAGCACAAAGGTACCCTCTCCCTGACCCTCCTGCTGAGAAAGGGAGAACAAGAGTGGAAGCTGTGGAAAATGCCAGCTCTTTACCACTTGTACTCAGGACACTCTCTTCGCTTGGGAAAGCTGCCCCAGTTTAGACCTGACACAGTTACAAAACTTTCCACACTATCTTAATGTTAGCTCTGGGGAATCACAGACCAAGAGGGACAAAAATGAGGCTAATTATCCTTTTTCAATATTCCCCATCTGTGTTTAGGCTCAATAAATAGTCCTCCAGTCTTCTGCAATGATCACTTAAGGAGAAAGTAATACTCATCTACAGGGGTTTGTTAAAAAAATTAATCCCTTTTGAGCTGAGGAATAATTTTTTTTATTTTTCTGGTGAACTTTTGTGCTTAATCTGCAATGTCCCAGGTGTCTTCCACAGACAGATACACTGCATGAGAGGCAGATCCTCCAGTCTGCAAGGTCCTGAAAATGCTGGAGTGCACAGATTCAGCACTTTGCAGGAGGGAATTAAGCCCTCACACAAGTGAACCTCCAGAACACATCTGCCTGCACACTGCAGATGTATGTATTTTATGTTGGATCACTTGCTGTAGAGCAGAGAGAGTTAAAATTAGCATGTCCCCATCACTTTTATAGTTTCAAAGTAAAACACTGGTTTTCTCCCTTTCAGGAAAAAAAAAAAAAAAAAAG